AACATACACCACACCGGGACACACCCCAGGTGCTCACGTCGCAGACACGCACTCACACAGGCACCTGCTATTCCAGGGCGCCCCAGCGGATCCAGGCTTCCGCCAGCACCACGAGGAGCTCTGTCCCTCCCGTCCCCTTGCCTGGCATCAGCCTCTTCCAGGAAGCCTCCCTGGATGGCCCCCAGCCTGCCACGTGACATCACCCCACAGCCATCCCTGCTCTCTCCTCCTCTCACAGTGGATACCCAGGCTGTGCTTGCAGCATCTTATTAATTAAACATTTTCTTTCACACCTAACAACAGGATGAACTGGACAGTAAGGCCCCTCTTCCTACGCCTGATGACCAGTGGGATGCCTTGGGAGGGCAGGGCTAGAACCTAGTGCCCAAGGACAAAGCCTGGTTCTGCGCGTCCTGATCCTTATGCCCCTGCGCCTTGACTTCCCCAGCTGTGAAATGGGGACAGCCAGAGTTGCTGTAAGAATGAATGAGCTGATTCCTGTAAAGGATCAGAAAACAGATGGGCCCCAGGGGCTCACTGCTATGGTTAGAGTGAGTGTTACTTCCCTCTTCACAGGCAGCCTGTGCTTGCAGCTTTTTCTGGGATCTTCCACTGGGGCTTCTAGCACCTCGGGGTAGGGACAGTGTCTGTCTCCCTCCTCACGATTCCAGCTCAGTAAATGCTGGTGGAATGAATGGACACATGAGGGAAGGAATGAAGGAAGGAGTGAAGGAAGGGATGAACCAGTCCCAGGCCCTGTTACAGCTGGCCCAGCTTGGGAGGCAGCAGGAAGACCATTTGGCAGATCAGGCCCCAAACAGCAAAGGCTTGGCCCAGAATACCGGCAGATGCATCTCTGACGGTGGGGGTTTGCTGCTATAAATCTGTTGGAGAAGGCAAAAAATATTCTTGGAAATCCTTAAATTGCTTGAAATGCACGGAAGTCTTGTTCTTCCACCCCGTCTCTCCTAACGTTCCCTTGGTTATCTGCTCTAGCCACACTGGTCTCCTGGCTGTTTCCGGAACACATCGGCCACGTTCTTGCCTCGGGGCCTTTGCACTTGCTGTTCCCTCCACCTGGCATCCTCTTCCTGACCCTCAGGTAGCTAGGGGTCCCCTCTCCCTCACCCCCTTCAGGTCTCTGCTCAAATGGCACCCTCTCCGTGAGGCCAGTCCGGCCCGCACTCCAGCCCACCGCTGAAGACAGCCCCTCCCTGTGCAGCTCTGTTTTACAATGATGTCATTGGTCTCCCACTTCTCTCCACTCCTCTCACCACAACCTGAGGCTGTTCTTTTGTTTGTTCCCAGACTCAGTGATCAAGAACCCGCCCACCAATGCAGGACATGTGGGTTCGATCTCGGGGTCAGGAAGATCCCCCGGAGAAGGAAATGGCAACCCACTCCAGTATTCTTGCCTAAAATCAGTATAGTATTATACGGGCTTCCCTGGTAGCTCAGTGGTAAAGAACTTACCTGCCAATGCAGGATTTCAGGTTTGATCCCTGGGTCGGGAAGATCCCCCAGAGAAGGAAACGGCAACCCACTTCAGTATTCTTGCTTGGGAAATCCCATGGACAAGAGGGGCCTGGCGGACTATAGCCCATGGGGTCGCAAAGAGCCGGACACAGCTTAGCGAACAAATAACAAGTCTCTTTATGAACTCCTTCAGGCAGGATCTTGCTTTATTCAGAGCTGTAACTCAAGCACCCAGAACACTGTCTGGCACATAGTAGGTGTCCAATATACATCTGCTGCCTGACTAAGCAAACAACAGAGAACACAGGGGAATGGAAGGCCCTGGAACAGAGGGCCACACACAGAAGAACACAAACCGTGCGGTGAAAGGGGCAGGATGCCCCTCGACAGCCCAACGCGACACAGCAGAGGCAGGCTAACCCTCACGGCTTCAGCGGTGCCAGACAGCACCAACACCCCTCCTCAAGCCATCATCCAGACCCCGCTGCACTGGGTCTGGGGGTCTTAGCTCACCGCCTCCCCCCAGCTATCCTGCCCGGGGGGTTCTTCCACCCACATGGTCCCTGTTCCTGCCCAGCTGGACAGGTCAGGTGTGGTTTCTGGTCTGGGCACCAGGGCACTGGCTCCCGTCTGGGGTGATTCCTGCTGACTCACTGGCCGTGGCTCTGGACAGGATCCCGTGGGCCTGATCATGTTGGGGGTGGGGGGAGCCAGGGGCCAGAGGGATGAGACACGAAGTCTCTGCGTGTGTGTCTGGTCGGGGTGGGGGGGGCATGGCTGGGCTGGCTACAGGCCACTTCCCTCCCGCGCTGGTGGTTTCTGCATCACCTCTCTCCCCTGCAAGGCTCTGAAAGGCCCCCTCCACTGAGCCACCTCCCAGACCCAACCAAGGCCCTGGTTAGCCTCCTGATTATAAAAGAGAAGGTGAGGAGAATTAGGGTCGCCCCCACCCCCCTGCCTGGGGAAAGGCTGACTGGTGGGAAGCTGCCCGCTGCCCAACACAGATTCAAGCCTGACCCTGAAAGCCCGGATTCCCTTGTGGGACCTGGTCCAATGCTTGGGCCTCATGTCAGGGCAGGGGGGACGTAGGGGGACCCTGCCTGCCTGTTTGATCCCAACCCAAGCATTTTACAGGCACCCCTCTCTCCCTAGGCTTCTCCCTAATGTGTCTCGGAGACAGGCCAGCTCTCCCCCTAAATCTACCTGGAGTCTGACCATATCACCCCACTTCTGCTGCCCTCTCTGCTCAAGACCCTCCTGGGGCTCCCCCCTCACTCGGAGCAAAAGCCAAATCCTTGCCATGGCCTGCTCGCCTGCCCACCCCATCCCCTCACTGACCTCCTTCCCTCACACCTGTTCTGTCCCAGCCATACTGGCCTCCTTGCTGCTCCTTAGTTCTGCCAGCCATGCCCTGCCTCAGGGCCTTTGCACCTACTGTTCCCACGGCCTAACTTCCTTCAAATCTCTGTGGCATCACTTTCTGAAAGAAACCTTCCTTCCCCACCCACCAACGTGGAGGCCACTCCCTCTGGCATCCTGGCTCCACCACCTGTGCCTGATTCTTCCTTCCTGACCCTTACCACGGCCCACTGTATGGCTTTTTTTTTTTTTTTTGGCTGCACCATGCAACATACAAGATCCTAGTTCCCTGACCAGGGATCGAGCCAGTCCCTTGGAGTGTTTGAGGCAGAGGAAGGAACAAGTGCAAAGTCCCTGAGGCTGGAACCCTGAGTCCCTGTCTCTTGAATCTACAAAGTCAAGAGACAGAAAGAAGGGCTTCCCTGGGGGCTCAGGGGTAAAGAAGCCACCCGCCAATGCAGGAGACACAGGTTCAATCCCTGGTCCAGGAAGGTCCCACGTGCCGCGGAGCAAAGCCCCGGCAACACAGCTACCGAGCCTGCTCCAGAGCCCAGGAGCCGCAACTGCAGCAGCTGCTGAAGACCGTGCGTCCTTGAGCCTGTGTTCCACCACGAAAGTCACGGCAATGAGAAGCCCGTGCGCTGCACCAAGAGAAAAGCTTGAGCGGCAAGGAGGACCCAGCACAGCCAAAAATAACATTCATTAGTGAATTTTAAAAAAAGAAACAGTAAGAAGTTCATGAAGCCACGTATAATATGTGCGCATACGGGGGTGGGGGGGATTAGGAAATTTGGGGATAGAGTTTGCTGCCTGTAAACCAGGGAGGTACGAGAATCTCGCCCTGACACCCCAGGACCCCCTTGTATCTGGCTTGCTCCTGACAGAGGGTTTTTCCTCGGTCCCGCCCCGCGAAACGTCCAAACTGGGATCTCAGCTCTTGGTTCCCCCTCCTCCCCCTCCCCCGGCCCGCGGTGCTGGCAGAGCCGGGAAACGGTGACTCAGGAGTCTGGCGGGATGGGGCCTCCCTCCCCCAACGTCCGTCCGGGCAGGCGGCCGGGCAGGAGCCAGCCTTGGCCGACACCGGGGGCCCTCCCACCTGACGCCCGGCCAGCCGTGCTCTGGCCGGGGGAGTCCTCTCCGCCGCCGGGCAGACACTCCACGTGGACTCCTTCTGGTGGCGGAGGCAGCAGCCCCAACCATGTAACCCTCCCGGCAGCTTGTGGCGGGGGTGGGGTGGGGGGGCGGTCATCCCCACTTTCCAGGGGGGGAAACTGAGGTTCAGAGACGCTGTGACGCCCACCAGAGTCACAAAGCAGAACTGGCACCCTGGGGACCCGGTGCTGGCAGCCGCGATACCCAGCTGGCAAGTCTAGGGCAGGAGGCTGGGTGGAGTGTAGACAGACCGCACACTTCCCCGGGCACCTCCCAGGCAGGAGGGACCCTGGGCTGGAGACCTGACCTTGGATCCCAACATCTCCCTAGCATCAGAACCGGGGTCTCCCATCTCTCGCTAACCCCCCAGTCCACAAACAAAAGTCAAGAGACAGAAAGAAGGTTTCACCAAGAAACCACCAGGCCCAGCATCCAGGAAGGAAAATAAAGCAGCAAAAGGGACACTGGGTGCTTCCTGGGGTGCCTTTACCCCCCTCCCCATTTCCTCATCAACAACCTCCCACCCATCAGCCAGTGACCTCAGCCGGACACGGTCACTTAGTTGTGCAGAACACGAAACTTTTTCCCAGCCTTCCCCGAGGAAGGCAGTGGCGGGTCAGAGGGTAGGCTCCATCCGGTTCCTGACTGTCTGCACTCAAGCCCCAGCGTAGCCTCTTAGCTGTTCACCCTGGGGCTGGTGTCTCCACCTCTCTGGGCTTCAGCTTCCCTATCTGCACAGAAAGGCATATAATAGAACTGCCTCTTGGGGTCATTTTTCCTGTGGACTGAGGCAAGGGCTTAGCACACGTTCCCGTGGTTCTCCGAGTTTGCCAGCCCGAGTCTCTGCTGAGTTCAATCAAGAGGCTCAGGGACCCCCAGCCCTGAGCCCGCATTGAAAGCTCATCTGTGAAATTTCTCAGTCACCCCTTCCATCCCATTAGAGTTACATGTCCAGGTTAGATTTTTTATTCACTGGCATCCATGTAACAAACCGAGTTATTATTATTTCTGGCTTAAAATGCAGCATGGTTCTGGGGACGTAATGGACCCAGGCTATGTTCTCTTCTGATGAGGTGGCGTCCAAGCATTTCTGGAAAAGCGCATGCTGTTTTCCCATCCGAAACATCCAGCGTCACTGCGGACGTGAGACTTGAAGGTGGACGCCACTTCCAGTCCTGGGCCCGGCACTTCCAGCCCTGGGGCGTGTTGCCCCCCCAAGCCTCTCCGGAGAGGAGATTCTGGGAGTCCCCGACTCCCTTCTGCACCCCCCCAGCCTCACTCAAACCAATAGCATGAGATCTCAGGGCTGGAGAAATCTCTTCCCCGTGTGTCTGAAAAGGCATGAGCATCACAACATTCTTAATGGTAACAGCACGGGTAGGCTTCTCCCATCCTTATAGCTACCATCTGAGGGAATTTCTGCCCTAAACACCCCTGAATGGAGAAACAAAGGCCCAGAGAGGTGAGTCAACTTGCCCTAAGACACACAGCCAGGAAGAACTGAGGGGGACTGGCATTCAAGCAAGTCCGACAGAGAAATGCCGCCCTTAACCGCTTTCCTCAGCTTCCTCTGTAGATGGACCAGAGAGAGCCCTGGCCTCCCTCTCCTTCCGTCTCCCAGTTTCATCAGTTCTCATCAATGTGAAGTTGGCTCATGAATTCCACTTTCTGAGCCTCAGTTTCCTCCTCTGCAGAATGGGGGCAAGGCACAGCCTCCCTCATTAGCTGGTTGTGAGGATTTCCCAAGGTCATGGATGCTTTAAAAACTGCTGATCTGCCGGTCCCTCAATAAATTAAACATGGAATTACCGCATGACCCAGCAATTCCACTCTTAGGTATATACTCAAAAGAATTGAAAACAGATGTTCAAATGAAAACTTGTACACATATGCTCATAGTAACACTATTCACAACAGACAAAAAGTAGAAACAAATGTCCATCAGCTGATGAATGAGTAAACAAAACGTGGTACATCCATTTGTTGTTTGGTCGCTAAGTCATGTCCGACTAAGACATGATTTAGTAACCCGCCAGGGTCCTCCTGTCCGTTGGATTCTCCAGGCAAGAATCCTGGCATGTGTAGTCATTTCCTTCTCCAGGGCATCTTCCCAACCCAGGGATTGAACCCGGGTCTCCTGCTTCGGCAGGTGGATTCTTTACCAGTGAGCCACCAGGGAAGCCCGGTATATCCGCACAATAGACTATTATTCAGCAGTAGAAAGTAATGAAATACTGATGTGTGCTACAACATGAATGAACGTGTGAAAGGGGCCAGACACAAAAGGCTACACGTCCTAGGAGAGATTCGTGTGAAATACACAGAGAAGGCGAGTCCACAGAGACGGAAAGTAGGTTAGTGGTTTCCAAAGACTAGAGGGAGGGGGGAATGGGGAATGACTGTTTCATAGGTCCAGAGTTTCCTCTTGGAGGGATGGAAATGTTCTGGAACTAGATGGTGGTAATGATTGCACAACTTCGTGAATGCTCTAAATGCCACTGAACTCCACACATTCAAAAGGTTAAAATGGTAAAATTTATGTGTCTGTTACCACTCACACAACGTGCTTAGCCCAGTGCCTGGCGTACAGTAAGCACCCAGTGAAAGTTAGCCAGATTATCTTATTTCAAGAGAATCTCGTCGTGCTCAGGGCTTGGGTTCCAGAGTTGGCTTGTGAAGCTTAAATCAAGTCAAAACTACAGTCCACAAACCCCAGGGCCTGTGTTCCCTGCCATCCATCAGCGGCACCCACGCTCGGGTCCTGTGGCCAGATTTTCCATGCCACGTGATAGCTAGTAGGTAACGCTACCCAGCTGACATTGCAATTACGCTCAGAGAAAGACAGTGCATCCCTGTTCACCCGATACGTAGAGACTCTGATGCCACAGAGCGGTGAGTGCTATGAGAAAGAATGAATGAGGGCTCGTTTGGCCACGGTCATCAGAGAAGGCTCCTTGGAGGAGGTGACTCAAGAAGATCTCTAACTGTGACCTGCTCAGTCCCACATGATTCATCCCCAACTCTCTCAGCCCCACCAGGCTCCCTCTGGTTCACTGCGTTCCAGCAACACATTCTCTCACAGTCACCTGGCATGCTCTGTTCCCAGGACCTCTGCACTTGCTGATGGCTTTGCCAGGAGCCCTTTCCCCGTAAGTGTCTGGGACCTGCCGCTTCTCATTATCCCTGTCTCTTCTCAACTGTCACCTCCTCAGGGAGGCCCTCCTCGACTGCTCTGTCTCAAGGGGTCCCCAGCAGTCACCTTCTGTTGCTTCCTCCCGCTTTATCTTCTTCCTAGTACTTCTCCCACTTGAAACTATGTTTTTATGTGTCTACTATCTGTCTCCCCTGTTAAACCATCAGCTCCACGACAGCAAGGCTTTTGGTGAGTCTTATTTTCTGGTGTATCCCCTCATGGCCCATGCCTAGAACTGTGCCTGGCACAGAGTACGTTTTCAAGAAATATCTACAGAAGTAAAGTATAAATAAATCAATGAGTGAATGTGTGAGTGAATGAATGCCTCTTTGCAGAGTAGATGGGGTTCAGCCCAAAAAGGGACTCAGACTTCCCAAGGGCACACATTGGGGACAGGGTTGACTCCAGGGGTCCCCTCTCGGTTCAGGCCACAGCTGGGGTGTCCATGAGTCCCTGTTTGTTGACTAGGGGCTATGGTCAACATAGCTCCAGTGGCCGCAGTCTGATCTGTCTCCCTCCCTCTCGACACCCATTCTGCCCACACAATTTGGGGGTGCAGCCCATCCAGCTCCCCAGCCATATCCTGGCCATGACAGCCTCCAGCCCTGGGTGACCCACAGGGATCCTTCCCAGCAGGTGACATCTGGGACAGGGAGAAAGTCCTGTGCAGTTACCAACTTGGTCTTGTGTTCCTGAAACTGCTCTCCAGGATGTGAGCAGGGGGTGAGCAAGTCAGCGGGGCTCTACTGAAGGCCGCCTCAAGCCCCAGTACTTGAGGCTGGGCCCTCAGTCAGGATATCCAGCCAGACAGGCAGGTGGACACAATTCTCTGAGCCTCCACTTCCTCGTGGGTGAACACAGGTGATAGCATCTCGCCTCACAGGGCTGTCTGAGAAAGAAATGGGGCATGTGAGCAAAATGCCTCACACAGGGCCTGCCATGGGGCTGCACGGGGTACATTTACCCTGATAGATAGCACGTGGGATAAACCTACCCTGATAGACAGTGCATGGGATATACTTACCCTGATAGATAGCACATGGGATATACTTACCCTGATAGATAGCACTCAGCATATACTTACCCTGATAAATAGCATACAGGATATAATTTCCCTGATAGATACTGTGTGGGATTACTTACCCTGATAGATACTGCATGGGACATACTTACCCTGATAGCACGTGGGATATACCTACCCTGATAGATACCACGTGGAATATACTTACCCTGATAGATAGCATGCAGGATATACTTACACCAACAGATACTGTGCAGGATATACTTACCCAGATAGATACTGCATGGGATACACTGACACTAAAAAAATGACTTGTTGCTTATCTGGAATTCAAATTTACCTGGGCGTCCCGGGTCTTTTGTAGCTGTCATGGATCTTGTTTTTGTTTGTGCTACATCTGGCCACCTTAGCCTGGCATGAAATGTATTCACCAATATTCAGTGAACGAATGAACGGAACTAAAGTATATCAGCTGAAAGAATGAACAGCTGAAGCAGTGACTGAAACACACAGCCATTATTCCATGGTTGCCATTGTTTTCTCACTGATGGCTCAGAAGTTCCTGCCTCTGAGAACATTCTAGCTCCTGCCCCAGGCCCAGGCCAGGGGGGAAAGTCGGGGCTTGCAGAGCAAAGTGACTCAGCCAAGGTCCTCAGGGCTATTGCTCCTGAGGCGGACCATCTGCACCCCATACAACTCCCATCCTCCAAGGATGATAAAACGCACCCCAGCCTGAATCTCAGGATAACCCCACCAGGCTAGGACAGCTGCCCTCCCCTGCCACCGACGAGGAAACCGAGGCTCAGAGAGGCAAAGAGACTCGTCCATGCTCCACCCTGGGACCCATCTCTCCACGCCGGGGGCAGAGCCTGGAGCCCAAGAGCCACAGCTGGCAAAGCTCCAGGCTCGGCTGGAGCTGGTGAGTCCCACGGCCCCGCACCCGCCCTCCCCGCCGCCGCGGGCCGAGGAATTACTCAGCCCCAGCTTAACTCCATGAAGGAAATTCCTTCCCCTGGCAGGCTTCCCACAGATCCCCAGCTCCACGGCCGGGAACTGCCTCCCCGAAGGCCCGCTCACCTCCTGGCAGCACCAGCAGATGTGGAAACCCAGGCTTGGCTCTGAGCGGGCAGACCGTGGGCGGCGGGCGGGGCTTGCTCCAGACACAGCTCTGCCAACGCAGCCAGCGAGCTGGGCATTTCATTCAAGCATTCAGCAAACGGAGGGGCCAGGCGCCGGGCCCCGTTTTGGGGGTTGGCTATGGGGGAAAAGCAGGGTCAGATGATGAGTGTTTAAAAAGCCCGACAGCACAGCAAGCGCTCAGGTATCTATCTGTGCTCCCCTTCTGAGCACCTACTGCGTGCTTGGCAGTAGCTAGAGCCCCCTGTGGCCTTGAGGGAGACAGGGTCACACCAGGAAATGCGAGTAATGAGGAGACTAGATGGACTTCCCCGGTGGTCCAGCAGTCACGACTCTGCGTTCCAGGGCAGGGGGTCCACGTTCGACGGCTGGCCAGGGAATCAGGGTCGCGTGTGCGGCGTGGGGTGGCCAAAGAAAAAAGAGGGAGAAAGACTAGGAAGCTGCTCAGACCGGCTCAGGCTATGGGCATCGGTGTCCCAGGGTTATCTCACGGGACCCTGGTGATAGCCCTAAGTGGAGGACTGTTAACTATCCCTGTTACTCAAAGCAGGATGAGAGGAGCAAGGCTCACAACAAGGACTAGCGCCTGCTTTAACCTCACCCACGTTGAGGGAGAGTGAGGCATTACAGAGCACCTTTCGTGGGTCAGCTCCCTTCAGTGGGTGTCGTTTATTCACTCAACAAATATTTAGTGAGATTTACCGCGTGCCAGGCAATGGGGACACAACAGTGAACAGCACGGCTTCAAGGTGGAACTTGAATCCAAAGCGTCAAAGGACTAGGAGGTCCCTGCCTTCAGGGCCGCAGCCTCAGTCCGCTCTGGTTCAGAGGGGGGCAGCTCCCTAGCCCCCGCCCCCTCCTGTAACTTTCAACCTTGACCTTCAAGGGCCTCCAAGGGCACCCTCAGGCAGTGTCCTATGAATTACCTGCATGTTCATCTCCACCCACCCCGCCCGCCGTGTGCAAACACACCTGCGTCCATGAAGTCCTGGGGTCCG